TGTGGTCAACAGCCAGCTGAACATGAGCCAGCAGTGTGCCCAGGTGGCCAAGAAGGCCAACAGCATCCTGGCTTGTAGCAGGAATAGTGTGGCCAGCAGGACCAGGGAAGTGATCGTCCCCCTGTACTCAGCACTGATGAGGACACACCTTGAATACTGTGTCCAGTTCTGGGCCCCCCATGACAAGGACGGCCTTGAGGTGCTGGAGCGTGTCCAGAGCAGGGCAACGAAAGTGGTGAAGGGTCTGGAGCACAAGTCTGATGGGGAGCAGCTGAGGGAGCTGGGGGTGTTTAGTCTGGAGAAGAGGAGGCTGAGGGGAGACCTGGTCGCTCTCTACAACTGTCTGAAAGGAGGTTTTAGCAAGGTGGGAGTTGGTCTCTTCTCCCAAGTAACAAGCAATAGGACGAGAGGAAATGGCCTCAAGATGCACCAGAGGAGGTTTAGATCAGATATTAGGAAAAATTTCTTCACCAAAAGGGTTGTCAAGCATTGGAACAGGCTGCCCGGGGAAGTGGTAGAGTCCCCATCCCTGGAGGCATTTAAAAGGCGTGCAGATGTGGTGCTGAGGGACCTTGATTAGTGGTGGGCTTGGCACTGCTAGGTTAATCTTAAAGGTCTTTTCTGACCTAAACAATTCTATGATCCTATATTTCATTTAGCAAATAAAGTGACTATGTCAGAGGATTATTAGTGTGACAGAACCCAAGTCTAACAAATCACAGCAGCCAGTATCCAGCAGGGTAACAAGGCTTTTCTGTCCAGTAAAACTTTTGGCTTTATTCAGCTTTATTATAGTTCAGTTGTTTCCCCAACAGCATGCAACCCAAATCTACAGCACTAAAAGCCTGGCTATAGAGAACTCAAAGTAATAAACTTCATGAAAAAGTTACCTGGAAACCACCTTCATTTAATGCTCTGGCACCATAGGCAATCCTTGTTCCACCCTCCAAAGTAGGCAATACACTAGGATGGTGCTTCCACCTCTGAAACTCCCTAAATGGATTCAAATAGGGATTTTGATAATCTAAACCAACCTTAAAAAAAAAAAGTGCAACATTAATGAAGATAAAGTATGAAATTTCAACAAAAGTTTGAAAAGAAAACAATCGTGTATCACCACATCAATTGTTTAAATCTATTTTGTACTAAACCAGTGTCAGGATCTTTCTACTTAAAGTAACTACTACCAAAAATACATTCTATTAACAGTATAGTAGAAGCAAATCTGAGAATTTGCTGTTACAAGACTGTTCTCTGCCCTACCTGAAACCTGAACCATGGAAAATATTCAATTGCATTGTAACCACCTTCCATCTGTCTTCGAAATAAAATAGTGAAATTAAATTAAGCTTGGTTTAATGGGCAGGATAAGCAAGAAAACTTGTTTTAAATTTATGTTTCAAAACCTATTTGCCCTAGAAAAGCTGGAAGGAGAGGTAAACAATTATTTCTAGATAGTTATGTCCTTGTGCTCACATATTTTAACCAGTTCTTCACATCGTTTAGTGGAGTCAATTACCATACCCAATTAGGTGGGCCGTTGTAATAAAGCACAGGAGGGCAATGATGAAAGCAGAAAATGGGGGAAAAAGACTTTGCCAACTGGCTGGATGCCCAGGATTCTTATCTTAGGCATTTGAGAATTTGCCCAAAGATATACTCTGCATTTCCCATCTTTAACATACTCTTAAAAAGGACTTATGTTGCTGAATTTTCTCTTTTAAGAAAGGGATTATTTCTGGTTCCTGTAAGCTTTGAGACAAGTAACAAAATATGTCATAAGTCAGCAACAAACAATACCTTGATTTCTCTGGCAGCTCACTGTTTTTAGAGCACTACTTGCCTCTACTTTCCTTGCTAGGCAAAGTTAATGAACAATTTTCAAAATAAGTGCAAGATAATCCCTACTACAAGAATCAGCTCAGACTGACATAAGTGTAAAGTTTAAAGACAAAAGAGTGCTTGCATGTTCACACAAAAGTTGATTTTCTCCTATCTGAACTGGAGATAATATGAACGTTACTGATTACCATTCTCTGTAACAATCAGTGCTCTCTACCCTTCTAAAAGCAAACAGAATTGGAATGTCTACTGTCTGTACATATTAATTCCAATATTGGAAATCTGCACAGGACAAGTATGCATGTTGGAGAAAAGCTAACAAGTTTTTTTTCCACTGTTTCTTACAAAATGGCTAGACAAAAATACTGTTTTCACCCTACACACACTTTAGAATCCTTCTGAAATTTTTTGATTAATCATTTGGTTTTGGCTTTGCCAAAATTTGTTTGGCTTGCAAAAAAATTTATTTGTAAGTTTTCCATTTTGTTCCTAATAAAAGACAAAGACAGATTAATATGACAAATTAACCTTCCCTAATACGGGCATAAGTGCACATAAGATTGAGAAAGTACTAAATTTGGTCTGTTGTGATTCTTCTGTTTTCATCTTTGCATTAAAACAGAGAAAAGAGATTGCATAAAAATGAAGACCAAACAACAACAAACAAGCATAAAAAACCAACTCCACTTACCACAAAACCAAGAGCAACTAAAGGTTCACCCTCATTTAAGTGATAAAGAAAGGATCCTCCATATGTACGTCTGTCTAAAGGCCAGCCCACGGTATGTTCTACTCTTCCTGGTTTCCATTTCTTTTCATCAATAGTCCATAACTGAAATGAAGATGACAAAAAAATTACTTTATATTGCAAAGTAATGGGCTTTTCAATAGTCCATAACTGAAATGAAGATGACCAAAAAATTACTTTATATTGAAAGCCCATTACTTTGCAATAATACAATAAAATAAAAGATAAACACACAATTAAATATAGAAGAGAATTAATTTACTGCTACGACCAATGCATAAAATCATACAGCAAAATACCAAGTAATACCAAGTACACTTTTTTTGGATTACCGTTTAAGAATTTCCTAATATTTCTTGTTCTTTGAAGCATCGTGCACCAGAAAATGTGACCGAAACTCCAGTATACCAGGTAATACCAAGTACACTTTTTTTGGATTACCGTTTAAGAATTTCCTAATATTTCTTGTTCTTGAAGAGTCGTGCACCAGAAAATGTGACCGAGACTCCAGTACTACACTGAAAATTTTCATTCAGCCACAAGACCCGTTATAGATGCTTCTGCTAAGGAATGCAATGCTTACATTGACTTTTTTCTTTAAAACATTATTTCTTCATATAAATCACCGCAATTTCCTCACAATTTTTTCCAAGGTCGAGCTTAACAATACGCCTGAATGATCTAAATATTTGCTGTCAAACAGGTTGTCCTCTCTCTGCTCTCTCCTACACATCTCCAGTGCTCATCTGACCCATGGTGAACTGACAGAAGCATCTTCATGTTTCCACTAGTGCGTGAATTTTCTGCTCATTTCACAAAACATCTCTTCACCATGGAGTTATGTGCCAGGTGCGGTCTAATGCCAGAAGGGCAGTTGAGCACCATTAGATCAGCTCAAGCATGGAGGGTACATCTACATTAATGTTTCAGTTTAGATTAAGGAGTACCTTTTCGAGCAGCACTCCTGATTCTTCCCACTTACTGTGCTTTGGTTCACATCATCCAGCAGCCATGGAAGGAATGAACTGGATTCCTCTCACATGAAACTAAACTGTAAGACAGGCTCTAGAAGCCCACCTAAAGCATTCCAGTCACAAAAGGGGACTCAGTCCCATAGACTAGGTCAGAGCTAGTCAAAAATAAACCTGAAATGTGCATAGTATGGATATCAGCTCATCAGCACCAACTATTTCCCTTTACAGATCCATTCCCGTTGGACTGTACTATTTGCTAAAGCAGACAGTCTCATCTGGAAGCAAAGGAACTCTACAGCAAAACCCTGAACCCTGCTTTAACGACAACTTAGGTATTAGAAATTGTAACTAAGACTATGTGGACTGTACTATTTGCTAAAGCAGACAGTCTCATCTGGAAGCAAAGGAACTCTACAGCAAAACCCTGCTTTAACAACAACTTAGGTATTAGAAATTGTAACGAAGACTATGTCATACATTTACAGAGTGGTTATTCTCTACAGAGGTGTAAACTAATTATTTAACAAATATTTTGTAGCTGGAACCACACCGTTAGAGTAATAGATAAAGAAAATGTTATAGTCAAACTCTGAACAGTTTCTAAATAATACAGTTCTTTTTCATGAGTGGTATTTCCCCAAGCATAAAATATTTTAAAAAGGAAACCTGATCCTTATCCCAATTTTATAAGCTAAGTGAAGGAATTTGGGGGAGAGGTGTGGGGTATGTGGAACTCTTCCAGAAGGTATTTCAGAGACCATAACTCATCATCTGGAACAGCTCTTTTCCCTCTCTCTCTCTCATTAATATACAGAAAACCCATAGAAAGCCTGTCCTGCCCTCCTCAGGTACTAAAACCCCCTAAAATTAGGCAGCATGAATCCCTCTCTCATTTAGTAGAAGTACTAAAAACAGATTTCACAAATGAACATAACTTCAAATCAAATTAAGATATTAACAGAGTGGATTCACAGGTACTTCTAACACAGATATAAGAGAAGAAGCAGCTGAAACAAAACAGTCACGACATTCAAGAGCATCTTCTCTGATCAGCTTCAGAACAGCAAAGATTTTGAAGTCTGAACGTGTAACTCAAAAGCTATCATTCTAATGTCTTACACAAATTAGCTTGAAAGCAAACAGAAACTACCTTATAGCTTCACACTATTTTCTTAATTGTTAAAATTATGCAGGTGATACCTCTTTCAGTCCAATGCCATAGCTCTGGGGTTGACATTTCTCCCTTAGATTGAATTTTTTGTACAGCTGTTTGGCTAGATGTCCATGACAACCTTCAGCGAAGACTGTGACTTTAGCATGGAGTTCCAAGCCTCTTTCAAAGGTAGCCTGCAACAGTAGAGCATTTCATCACCAGTTAGATCTGTGCCATACCAAACTCACAGCAAGAAACATGAGGGCAATAAAGTGATTTTACACTACTTTGTGGCACTGCCCAGAACCTACAAACCATTGCAAACTATGGCTCTAGTCCAGTTGCCTTTGCCACCTAACCATAAAGCACCCCTGGCACATCTTTTAAGGGGATTCCAGTAAAGCAACACTACAGTGAACTGCCATTCGTTACTGAAAATGAGAATCATTTCCAGATCAGAGGATACTTATATCCCATCTGCTCATTCATATGGTACAAAAGGAACCCAGGCAGAAGAAAGAGTCTTAACCTATTACTTCACACTTTAATTTTTGCTCATGAAGTCACATTACAATAAAATATTGCATGTGTGTGTCCCCACATATGACAGAGGCTAGACAGAAACATCAGATCAAAAAAACCTGCATCACCCCTGCCCCCAAAAGAATCCACTACCTCAAAATAAATTTACTATAACATTACACCAATCTTACATATTAAAACATGCAGTGAAATTAAACTAACATTAAATATCATTATAAAAAAAAATTCTCATCAAAAATTCCAATGAGACTGAGTGTAAGATAAAGGGAACCGGCATACTTGTGTATTAGCATGTCACCTGCATTTGTGAGCACATTCTAAGAGAATATCACTAGATTATATTTGCAACATAAGGATACAAGATTATAAACACACACGATCTTGCAGGGAAAAAACCCAAACTTTTTAAAAAGAAAAAACCTTGATTTGAGTGAAAGTTTAATGTTGAAAAAGACCATGAAAATAGTTTTGGATGAAGATATCCAGCAGTATCCAATAAAACCATCCCAAGGTAAGCCAGCACAAGTCCAGGAGAAGCTTATTGCTTTGGTTTTGAACTGCTTCTGAGGTGTAAACTGCTTGTAACTTACTGGTTGGAAACCTCTGAAAAAGGCTAGCAAATGAAAATGTTCCCTTTAGTCGAGAATTACCTTTAAACAAGAGTTACAAGATTTTGCCAATTATTTTGTGTATTCTTTGAATTCCAGATTGTCAACCTGAACAAGAATTAACCTTACAAAATACTAAGAGAACTACAGGGACTTACTACTTGATCTAAAGATTAAAAATACATACTGTCCAATTTGAAGTAGATTTATATAAAATAAATCAGCTAACTACAACTCCACATTGTAAGTATCAGAAATTCATGAATTTGAAACATTTCAGTAACGCGGCAAAGTTGTGTTTCACAGTTAACATCCTTCTCCAGCCTCCGCACGTTGATTCTTGTGTAACTTTTTACTACGTATTTTTACCGTTGGCATTTTTGATTGGTGCTGACTGCAAGGTGGAACTCTATTCATTAACCACCACCTATTTGATTAGGCTCTGTATAAACACACTGAAGATATTCTTGCCTTGAAAGTTATACAAACTACGTCTATTTATCTGAACCTTTATACACTGGAGGTATCATCAGCTGACCTGACAGCTAAAACACTTGAATACTCAAAAAGGTGCAGTAGTGGCACACTAATTATGTACATTAAAGAAGTTAATAGACATGTTCTTCCAGAATAAGCAGAAAAAAAATTCTAGGTTTTAGAGGATGCTTAAAAAAAATAAATAAAAACATAGCTCCTTTCCATTTTAAAACAGAACCAAACTCCCAATATATCTTTATTACTGCAGCAAGTTATACACATTACTTGTGCCTCCTAGTGCAGAAAACGTAAACCTCAAAATAAAAGCATGCCTATCCCCTACAGGAGACAGATAATATTTTACTGGAAAAACATATTAACCTTCCCTGCCACCACTTCCTCCTCCATTGGCTACAGTCTCTTAAAACAAGAATGAGTCTTCTCATTCTCTGCCTTAAATGGGAAAAACAGCCCACACTTTTATGTGGAAGTAAATACCTCTTTGAAACTTTATGTAACTAGCTAAAAATCTTATAAAAGAAAGTAAATCTTAAGAAAAAAGTGTACCCATAATTTCTGTAGCCAACTAATTCTGTATGAAAGTTGTTCTGAGGTGCCAAATTCTCTCTACGTGTTGTACAGGGAGGCAACACGCTTACCGCAGGTTCTGAATTCCACCAAAAATCAGTCAAAGTCCAACGCTTAGGTCAGGGAGTCATCTTCCGGATATAGAAATGTGACCAACCAGCAAAAAGGTATAAAGATTCAGTGTGCACCTTGCCCCAACAAGGTAGACAGACGGTCAACAAATGCGAGTGCAGTTGTAAACATCAAAGAAAACAAATCAGTCAGAAGCACACTCTCTTACAAGTTGCTAGTTACCAGGTGGACAACAGCTTTTTATTTCACCTTCGCATCTTTTTTCTAGGAGTTCCTGGACTTCTTTCCTTTGTTGTTTCCTGATTTCACATATGCCAAAACACCATTACAATATTTCCTTCAGATCAGCCTTAAACAAACCTCCTTTCTGTGAAGGTTTTTTCCACTAATCTCAGTAGTAGTTTACAATGTTCTGAGACCAGAACTTTTGCAGGTAATCAATCCATTTTATATACAGAGAGGGAAGACACGTACTGAATTTTACACTTTTTCTTAGGCTGTTGCAAGACTACTGATGGCAGTAGAAGCAGATATATCACAATTTCCATAATTAGACCCCTAGTTATGGGGAAGACAGCTACTTACTTTAGGTGCTCCATCCTTTTGAATGCCTACATCATTAGTTGCTATCCCTTTCACGCTACCATCTTCATGAAAAAGAACCTTTGGAAATATTTAAACAAACACAAAAACATTTTAATGATCTGTCATTTTAATCCATTCATTAAAAGTTCTAATGCAGAACTTCTAAGCACTATGTCTTTAATGGTCAAACTTGAAGATTATGTATTTATTAAAATACTGTACAATCCACTTGCACTTTGCTGGATCTGGGCCAGGGAATTTAGACACTGAAACACAGTTTTCGCAATACACGTCTGTTAAAAGGAACGTTGTGAACGTACAAATAATTGGGAGTGGAGTGAAGGGGGTTCCAAACACATTTTTCATATACACAGTGATGTCATCATTACCTCAGCTGCTGCATAGCCTGGATACACCTCAACGCCCAAAGCTTCTGCTTGTTCACCTAGCCAACTCACAAAGTGGCCCAGACGTACTATGTAATTTCCATGATTAACCATCGGAAGTCCTAGGCAAAAAAGACACACACACAAAATATAGAACACTAAGCAAAGTAGTAGAAGTTGTAGACATCACGCCTCGTATCTTCTTCTACAACTACCATCTTCACAGTAATGTCATGTGTTATCACATAGACCCTATAACTGTAAGCTGTTACATTCTACATACATTTACTGTACTGCACTGAATGAAAATTGTTTCGGTCATGGAAAAGCTGAAAAAGACAGAGAAAGACGCCTCTCTACCACATCACTGAACTTTACCTGGAAGAATTGGCACTGGAATTCTGTATTTCTTTGTTAAAATTCCAAACTTGTCTTCAGTTACAGGAGTATTAAGTGGAGCCTACAGAAAAAAAAACCAAACCCAGAAACAGTACTGAGAGTTATGTTTTTCAAGCCAATCCAACAAAACCAACAACAAATAAAATAAAACAAAACAAATCGAACTGGCAGTCAAGTAAAGGTTTAATAAAGCACTTCTGTAAGAAAGTATCACAACGGAGAAGATAAAGTACTTTATGAGGCAGCCATCAGGCAAGAACCAATGCAACTACTGGGGTAAAAAAAAGGTAACAGGGCTTTGCAAATCACTTCTATAGTTTGTACACCGGCTCGTACTACATCAATATTCTAGACCTTTCTAAAGAAGACAGCTCAACTTGCATATTTATCCCAGTAAGACAAAATAACTAGTCGACAGCCCACTTCTTGCAGCTTCCAGGCGATAGCAGGCAGCTGGCTGCAAGTCGGACAGCTGTTCTGGCAGAGACTGCACCTCATTTCTTGCTATCCTCCCTCCTAAAAGCATCTTAGGCCTCCGTTACACCACTACATCTGTACAAAAGTCAGTGTACTATGCCCCATTTCATGACACTATGAAGAACTGTTGTACAGAGGCAACAGGTCTGACATGGCTAAGAACTGACCATCTTACTGCTGGTGCGCAGGAGTTGGATTCTGCACAAATGCAGCAAAAGTAGTGCATCCCACGATGCAGCAGACATACTGCGTATATGCAGTAAAACTTCTATATAAAAGAGCAAAGGCCACAGCATATCTGTGCAGACATAAAACTTCAGCACTGTCAAACTAGAGAAAACAGACTAAAAGCAAGGTAGAGGGTTTTTTGTTTTGATAGGCCAACATATTTTAAAATGGCACTAAGTACCAATAGTATCAATGCCCTAAGTCATACCACAATGAGTCAGATATGGAAGTCGTTACAAGCTAGCAATTAATTTCAGTGTTTATATGCTCATACGTACCCCCCGCTCCTTCCAGTCTGGAAAGAGTTCTTGTAAGGACCTTGGCTCAAGACAAGCACCAGACAGCGTATGCGCACCAATCTGAGAAGCCTTTTCCACCAGACAAACACGTATTTCTTTGCTATGTTCAGCAGCTAGCTGTTTGAGTCGAATAGCTGCAGAAAGACCCGCAGGGCCTGCTCCAACAATGACAACATCAGCTTCCTCTGCAAATCTTTCCATGTTTACCCCTTTAATAGAAAAAAAGATAATAATATAAATCATAAAACCAGAAATCTCCAATTTCCCCCCCGCCTCTCTCTCACTAAACTATGCTCTGGGATACTGGCTACTGCATATCCCAGAAGTATTACTTTGCATAACAGGAGGCTAAATATTCAACAGAATTCCCACTTCGGTACTTGGAAGAGTGCAGAAGGACATCAGCACCCCAGTGTAAAATTAGCTCTTTTTAAGTTGTAAGAAAATATACCTTAAAAAACATATACTTAATCTCTACGCACCACAAGTATCATCTTAGAATGTTAAACTTAAGAGCCCAGTTGGCTAGCTGTATCAAAGACACTCAGTGAAACTCGAGGTAAGGGAGAAAGAAAAGAGAAGAGACCCTTAGTTAGAACATGTGACTTTACTTTACACTAATTAATCAGTGTCTTTTCTGTAACTGAAGGCATTAAAATTGCTCAATGTAGAGGCTGGAACGCCCAGAGATATATATTAATCTTATTTTCTCACAAAGTCTCACGGTAAGAACAACTGAAAAAAATCCAATGGATACATCCCTGACAGAATTAAATCTTGTTTTGATAGTCACTAAAGCAAAAGCTGCTTATATATTTTCTTTAAATAACTAGGATCAGGTTTAATCTGATCCCATTTTATAGCACCAAAGACACCCATGGTGAGATAGCAACCACAAAATTTCATTTGGAATATTAGTACTGTATTTAAGAGTACAGAATTTCTGTAAAAAGAAAAAAACAGTAACACATTTCAGTGTCTTTAAGACTGAGCAATAATAATAAAGAAGCTTTTAAAGAACACATTTTTTTTTTGCTTGCCTTCCCATCGTTTGTCTTTGTCCCGAGGATGAATTGTATAATGCGTAGTTATGCGAGGCACAGAGGCAGTAGATGCACATCTTGCGATATGCAGCGATGGAACACAGTCTCTCTTTATCAACTTTAGAGCGTGAAAGCACTGACGTGCTGCAAAAACAAGAAACAAATTTGTCAAATCAGCCATTTTCCAATTTTTTTGACTTTTCAGAGACACAAGCAGCACAACAAATACAACAGCTCCCTCTCCAAAGACTACCACGTGATGTAAAGATGAGGAACCATAAACACAGATTTCTAAATTTCCACATTAGAAATGCACTGTATAATTTTATATCGGGGGAAAAACAAAACAAAACAAAAAAGAGTAAAGAGCTTCCCCTTTAAGCATTTTTCACATACCACTCAATACACTGGCCAGCCATTTCTGACAGCTGACTTAGGATAACATGCATGTACACAGGTGAAACACATTTTAAGTTCCTATTTAATTTTGAACTTCAAAAGATTTATTTCAGACTTCATTAAAAGTGACCAAACAACCGTAGAGATAGGACATGCAAGTTCAACTCCTCTGACATCTCAAGAGATATTGAGACACGCACTTTGGGCTACCGATACTAGACAGTTTATTTAAAATAAACATCACGGTCTACAATAAAAGCTCAGACTTAAACCCCAGTATACTTTAGCCACAGTTAGGAACAGTAGATACAGTTAAACTTTACCTTTGCTGCAGATACGTTAAGCATTGCAAGAACAAATTAGAATTTCTTTATAAGCAAATGGACCAAATGAAAGCTTAAAATTATCAAGAGAGGACTCTGTTCAGAAGGGTTATTACATGTCACATTCTTGTTCTAATTCCCCTCTTTCACAAAAAAATTATGAAGACGTGTGTGATTTGTGCTCAGAAAACTGGTATGGTTAGCACCAAAACTAGTTATAGTTAAAAAGTCTGTGAAGTAATGTACCTTGAAAGGTATTTTTCCTTCCTTTAAGGATTCTCCTTCTCTAATTTCAGGGATGAAGAAGGAGAGTATCGTATTTAAACTAGAGTATTTCTGCAAAACTATGTCAGTAAAGTCACCAACATCCTATGACTGAAATGTTTTGTTGAGAATGGTGATGGGCAAGGCCAGCACAAACATCCTTCATTATAAATTTGCACAGTGACAGTCAGGATACTGGTATCTCTATGCAAGGTAGTAAGTATCATTGGTTTCTTAACAGTAATTCTGTACCTAACCAACAGAACATAAAAGCTATTATCATACCATCTCATGACTCTTAATTATCCTTTAGCTGCAACCAGGCAGGACCCAAGAACAAGCACGGTATTTCATAAGCATGGTAACAACTACACCTGTACATACACGTTAAAACGTGATACCTTAACTTAAATTTTGAAATATTTTTATTTGAGCAGAACTGATGGTACTATGAATCACGCAGTATAGTTAAAAAACGTCAATTATTTCACAGGCATGCAAAAGAAGTGACATTCAGCTCAGAACATGTCTGATAATTACAAAGGTAGGTCCAAACCCTGAAGGGGCAGACCCTTCCCAGTGA